GGCATGCGTTTCTGCATGGGCTGAGACACATATGCGTTTCAAATGTTAAAGTGTAATGGCGGACATGGAGGGCCTAGCTGTGGGATACACAACGCAAGCATGCAATATAAAAAATACCAAAACAAATCGAAGTTCTATATATTAACAAAATATCAAATACTCAAAAATTTATAAACCTCGTGACGCGGTAAAATCAAAAGACGAAATAACAATCAAGCTATTGATAAGATGAGCAACTACCATCCGCTTAGCCCATGCAGAAATGCATAGAGAATTTTAATGTTATGCGTTTCTGCATGGGGCATCTAAAATCAAAACGACATTGAATTTCATCGCAAAAGCATGCTAACTAACAATAAATGATTGTAACAAGCTGATCTACGTCAAGCTTTTCCATGCAAGGAGCATTTTTGAATTTTTATCCTTTTTGTAGTTTGCCTTAGGCCCATGCAGAAACGCATAGAGAATTTCAGTGCTATGCGTTTCTGCATGGGGCATCTAAAATCAAAACGACATTGAATTTCATCGCTAAAGCATGCTAACTAACAATGAGTGATTGTAACAAGCTGATCTACGTCAAGATTTTCCATGCAAGTAGCATTTTTGAATTTTTATCCTTTTTGTAGTTTGCCTTAGGCCCATGCAGAAACGCATAAAGAATTTTGGTGTTATGCGTTTCTGCATGGGGCATCTAAAATCAAAACGACATCGAATTTCATCGCAAAAGCATGTTAACTAACAAGAAGTGATTGTGAGAATATGATCTAGGTCAAGCTTTTCTATGCAGGTAGCATTTTTGAATTTTTATCATTTTTGGTAGTTTGCCTTAGGCCCATGCAGAAACGCATAGAGAATTTCAGTGTTATGCGTTTCTGCATGGGGCATCTAAAATCAAAACGACATTGAATTTCATCGCAAAAGCATGCTAACTAACAATAAATGATTGTAACAAGCTGATCTACGTCAAGCTTTTCCATGCAAGGAGCATTTTTGAATTTTTATCCTTTTTGTAGTTTGCCTTAGGCCCATGCAGAAACGCATAGAGAATTTCAGTGCTATGCGTTTCTGCATGGGGCATCTAAAATCAAAACGACATTGAATTTCATCGCTAAAGCATGCTAACTAACAATGAGTGATTGTAACAAGCTGATCTACGTCAAGATTTTCCATGCAAGTAGCATTTTTGAATTTTTATCCTTTTTGTAGTTTGCCTTAGGCCCATGCAGAAACGCATAAAGAATTTTGGTGTTATGCGTTTCTGCATGGGGCATCTAAAATCAAAACGACATCGAATTTCATCGCAAAAGCATGTTAACTAACAAGAAGTGATTGTGAGAATATGATCTAGGTCAAGCTTTTCTATGCAGGTAGCATTTTTGAATTTTTATCATTTTTGGTAGTTTGCCTTAGGCCCATGCAGAAACGCATAGAGAATTTCAGTGTTATGCGTTTCTGCATGGGGCATCTAAAATCAAAACGACATCGAATTTCATCGCAAAATCATGCTAACTAACAATAAATGATTGTAACAAGCTGATCTACGTCAAGCTTTTCCATGCAAGTAGCATTTTTGAATTTTTTATTACCAGGAAATTTTTTTTTCAAAATAATTAACGACGTTTCGAGAATAGCCCGTTATCAAGTGAGATAGAAAAGCGATGATAGAACTAAAAAACGTTAAAGGAATATGGAATTCGCCAATAAAAGGAAGACGGATGTAAGAGCATGGAAAAGAAATATATGGAAAAAGCTAATAAAAATAAATATATATATACATATACGCAAATACAGAATGTATGTATGTAGTTTGCATATAAATATACATATTAGTGTGCATAAATTCTGTATTTGCGTATATGTATATATATATTTATTTTTATTAGCTTTTTCCATATATTTCTTTTCCATGCTCTTACATCCGTCTTCCTTTTATTGGCAAATTCCATATTCCTTTAACGTTTTTTAGTTCTATCATCGCTTTTCTATCTCACTTGATAACGGGCTATTCTCGAAACGTCGTTAATTATTTTAAAAAAAAAATTTTCCTGGTACAATTTACTTACATTGATCGTTATTTATATATTTATTATGCTTCTAGCTTTGAAAAATTATTTAAACTGATAGCTCTTTAAGCGTTCATCAGTTGAACCTGAATTTGCTTTTGGTAGAGGTCTACAAATTATTATCACATCTATGTATGTTCTAGCTTCATAAAGCTAGCTTTGGTGGAAAAAATTCATTACAATCTAACGTCTCTTGATGAACTACAATTGTCAATTTGCCTTGGGATCAATATCAAACGATCATTTTTGTAGGAAAAAGTACGAGAAACACTATGACCAGAGTTGAAAAACTCAGACTCCCTTTAGATATTCAAAATATATATTTATAAAAGCTCATAAATGCAAAGCTTGCAACAGTAGATAAAGATATTTTATTCAAATTTTGGTTTGTTTATTGTAACAAATATTTCACTAATTTATGTTTTTAATAGTAAATTTTATATTTTTTCGTAAGTGATTGGTAAGCATTTTTCATTGTTGATAAGCATTGTTCATAAGAATGATTGTACGCCCCATTTTTCCCAGTTCTTGTATTTCAAATCTGGCGGTCTCCGACAAACATGAACGCATTTTTAAACAAACGAATTCTTATGAACAATGCCGTTGCACAAGTTTTAGATAGCGGCCAGTGTGAACAGCCATAAGTTGGAGCAAACAAGCGTAAACTCGCACTCTTAAACAAGCACCCAGTACACTTAAGAGGGCTAGCCCACTTCATGTAAACAGGTCCTTAGACCGCTGGAGTGTCTACGGAGGCTTTATTCCCCCAATAATTTCCAAAATGTACTAAAAGCCATACAAAAATTTGCCCTTGTTTTGGTTTAAGGCATGTTCAGCCCCGCCCCAAAACGTTTTAGCCCCCTCAATCTGCAATATGCCTCACGGTCCTTGAATAGATAGATATGTAGGGTTTATGCCTTATCTCACTTCCTCTCCCCGGCAGCAAAGTATCAATCTCCATCCTAAACAAATAGACGTGGCCATTTTTGTTTTTTCTTAGTTACTTGGTGCTAAGCCTCGAATGTCTTGTGAACAATGAGTAAGGAAAAGGTCACTCTATTGTCTTTTCCACACTTCACTAACCCCGGCCAATGTCTGCGCTTTGAATCGAAGTAGGTTTGTGATCAGTTGACAGACGAGGACAATTGTTTCGTATAAAAGTTGGTACCTTCTTACTTGAAGACTACTTGCAGCATACAGAGCAGAAGAACAGGTATGAGGAATTAAACTCTGCATTCTACTCTTCTTTAAGACTCTACGCAAGTTAGACTTGTTTAGTCAATCTTAAGTTATTCTTAAATGAAACTATTCAAAATTATTTTGCAGTCAAATCTGTTTATTTCGAATCTCTGCAATTCAACCTTTTATAATTCGACCAATTTTGTCAGTCAACGAGGAAAACAACCTTTTTTCGAATTCTTTGCATGTTTTAGAAAAAAAGCAGGTAACGTAAGTATTTTATTTCTCTAAATTGTTCTTAAATTTATGTTATCTTAGATTTTGGCTGTTATCTAAGACATTTCCTTTAATAGTTGTTGGGCCCCAAAAATTCGAGGGATTGTGGCTTACCTCGCGCCGTACAGTCTAGAGGGTGCGTACTAGCGATTATATTTACAACTGTCGTGCAAGTTGGGAGTAGATTGATCAAGTTTATAAAAGTTAAATTGTCAAACATTTTGCAAAATCAAAAGTTTTTACGATCGCAATGTACTAAGTAGAGTTTGGGATAAATAGATGGCCTTTTTGGGGAATCTGGATTTGCGGGCTTGTTGTAATGTACATTCTTTTTTAAAATAACCAGTTTATGTTGAGGCTCAGGCCGGCAGTTCTAAACTTTTTCGAAAATCTGAGGCTGTATTAATTGGGTTTTAACAGGGCAATTGAGCTTTTGCGCTCTAGAAAGGTATTCAGGCCTCATTTGCCAACAGTGAGTGAGACATCTTTAATTTGCCGACAAGTTCGAAAGTTCACCTAAAAGCACCCCTACATGACAAAAACATCTCTTTCGTGAGATGAAACATTGTTCAAAATTACATTTTGCAGAAGATCAACCTCAGTTTGTTCTGAATTTGTTTCTAAAATTTTGACGAATTTTGAGGCTAGTGTTCATATGAAATTGCTACTATAAAATTGTTCTTCTAAAAAAAGAGTGTAATTGGAGCCAAATCTTCAACTTGCTCAGAGGGATTTTGTGCTCTCTTTGTTCCCTCTTTGTAATCACCGATTTCTATTGCACGTGATCAGTCATAAGTAAAGTTTCAGGTGGTGGAGTTATGCTTACTAAGCACTAGAGGCAAACCAATTGTTTGTCTCATTGGCAGAAAGACAGTTGTCATGCTAACAGCGAAAACAAAATAACCTTTGTGAAATTTGATAATATATTTTTATAACATTGAATCAGTTGAAGATTACTGCCACTACTTCTTGGAATGCAAAGACAATGAAAGATGCAAAACACAATCTTTTGATGAGACCAGCAGAATTTTTCGGAAAATTCATTTCTTTAAAAGTCCAATAAATTCAAATGAACAACGAGTTACAAGTATCCACATGTAACAATATTTTCCGGAGTGTTTACCCATGAATTCTTTTCTAAGAAAGAGCAGCCCTTACAACAACAACCCACGCGAAACTGGACCATGTTTGACATTCAACTTCTCATCGAAAAATAACGGAAGATAAGGATATTGCATCAATTGCAGCTATATTGTTGAAATTGGGCACGTGCCCCTCCCCCCAATGACAGGGAATCAGGGGGCAAAGAAGGCGATCCAGCCCTTCAAAGGATGCCAAAAGCCGCGTCCGAAGTGGCGAATTTTTATTATAAAGACGTCTTTCAACAATTTCTCTTTCTTTCCTCTACCGCACTCACATGACAATCTACGCGCTCTGCAATCCGTTAAAATCTCTTGACGCTCTGCAACCCTGAGATTGGGCGTGGGATGCGATAATATAGCTACCATTGCTTATCAAACATTTTTTATTGAAAAGCATCTTATCAAATAAAATGTGCTAAACAAATGTTTGACATATCGATAAGAAACGACACTAGCCTTTATTCTAGCCTCTACCAACTAACCATAGACCGACATAGCATTTACACTTGGCAAGCAGCATTTAGAAAAGGATACAGCCCAAAAGTGAGAATTGAACTAATTATTGAGCAACACTTTATCTCGCAATCGGGGATGGCAAATTGGAATAATATCCCAGAACATACTCGAAGATCTTGATTGCTGAAAGATCAAGAAATTGCTATAACATAACTATAAAAAACTTTATCCATTAGAATGTCAATATTATAGTCTATCCTGTCCCCACTATCATGTTCACATTAGAGTATAATTTCTGGGTAAAGAAACAATCCCAGATCTTTTATAACGATTAAATGGTCAAAATGTTTGATCATCCCTATTTGAGTATTTCTACCCCTATTTTCCGTAATATATGTTAATATTGTGAAAAATAGCATCAATAATTTGATCCTTGGCTTCTCTATGATCTACATCTACACCATGTTTTTGTCCTATCCATATCTCAACGAATTCTCATCCATATCTTATCCGTATCTCAACGTCCACCTTTTTGTGATGGGTGTTTTGAACTTCATAACCCAACACACCGCTGATTACACCCTTAGAAAACGACAAAGAAGAAGTCAAATTTTATCATTTTTTTCTGGCAATCAATTTACACTCGTGTTAGTTCAACTCTACTCGTAACTACTGACGCAAAAAAACATAATAAATGAAACGTAGTTAATTGTGTAATAACCCCTCTGTGAATAATATCAACTCTCCGTTATGGTAACATCAGTATAATTAGTTAGTAACATAACAAAACAAAATTTCTGCATTAACAACAATTGGTTGCTAGGCGCATGCAACCTCGCAGCTTTCCACAACAATGGGAGGTTTTTGTGCTTCTTATCTTAAAAAGGTGCACTGCAGAACTCCAATTTGTAATTGAAAAGCAACAACGTATATTTCTTGTAATCGTTCGAATTCAACCAAATTCATTTGAAATTATACCAGGGTAGGGGGGATCTCTCCTCGATTAGTTTACCTATTGAGAGAGCTCCTCCTTTAAGTAATTCCCTCCATACAATCTATCATGTTTTTCTCTTTGTTAGCGTATATTGTATTTATTTTCCATATCATTGTATTGATATTCTGTAAAAGTATTTTATTTCCTTATAGTTTTGTTACTTGTTGGTATTGTTATTCATGAGATTGTAGGCAGTGAATTTAAATATAAATGAATAATAGAGGGCGATAGGAGAACACTCTTCTTTGCTTACTGAACAAGAAAGAGGATAGGAAGCAAGCTGAGATAGAGGATAAGCAGTTATTTCCCTTTCAAAGCTCGATCCTCGACAATGTCAGTTCTTCTTTACTCGACGACGTGGGGTTTCTTCAAAGGATGCTACTATTGTTATTATGAATGACGACATTCTGAGCTCAAAAGAAAGTGATCTTTTTGAACAGGGCGAATCCATTGAATTCCAATGGTTGGATCGATGGTGTGATTTGGAGCATTGTTCATTTAAACATCAAACAACTGTTTATTTTTGGCCGAATGCACTGGTTTTGCCGGGGCTTAACAACATGTAACAAAGCCAAACTAAGAGATCACAAATCAATTCACTCTTGCGAATAGCGTACAAGATTTCCAAAAAGCAAAAGGATTTTCAGGGATTCTCTGACAAAACAATAGGATTTCCACCAAAGATGTACAATATTTTTATAGAATGATTTTCCCCTCGAAGTTAAAATGGTTTGGTAAGAAGAAAAGATGAAAATACAGCCTATCTATATCATTAAGACTTAATTTGTCTGAATTAACCGCAAACTGTAACGGAAAATACCAAATACTTTGTGCAGAAATGTAAAGCACGAGAAGAGACATTTTGACATTTATGGTAATATAAAAAATTCATCAAGAAATTGTCCAAAATAGAACCAACACAAGCAAAAAGCCAGGTACGGATTCACCGAGGGGGTACACGGTACAGGGGCTGTAACACTCTCAATATTTTTGTGTCCTTCGGTACACTTTGCCTTGACTCGGTAAAACTTTTTATGGTCAATGGTAACAAAATAATGCAAAAATTTTCTTTACTTATCTTCTTATCTTCTGTATCTTGAATTTAAAAGCTTAATTTTTAAAAACCATTCCCTGCATTTTCCAGTCACCTGAAGGGTGTGGCTCCGATCATTATCCGACCCCCCCCCTACCTCCCCCTCAATCCATGTCGCTTAAAACCATCAATGCAAATAGCCCCAAGAAACGTCAAAGAATAAAGTCATGAAAAAATTCTTAAACTGAGTAAACCAGTGGAAAGACCCACTTGCTTTACTGCCTAAAATTAGCAAGAATCAGAGTTAATTATGTAGTTCCCACTCCTAAATGGAGAATATGGATTATTATAACGGCATGACATCTCACACTACTCATGTTGTTGATCATGATAAATTCATCTCGAAAAACTTATGGGGTTGCATCCTCAAGTACAGCTCATCAGTTCTTCCAGTATTTCCTAATGAGTTATGCATGCAATACTCTCTAAAAGCTCTTCCACCCCCCTCCCCCCTATTTCTTTTTCGTTTTCTGCTGTTAATTTAGAACTACTGATGCGCAGTCAAGAGTTTGAGAAAAAAAGTAGAGCTACCATTTTCTTGAAAATTTTGTTCATTTTCCTTGATATTTTCCGACTGCTACTACACCTACCACAATGCATTGCGCGTAATCGTCAAATGACGTCATTGTGCCAACGGTCTATTCACACATCCACATTGCCTCGCCATTATATTTGATTGACTTCTTTGCTAGTACTCTCGTCTCGGTGTCTCATAACAGAACGAAAGTGCACAGGGCAGTCGTCGCAGTCCTGCTCTCTGAAAAAGCAGGACCAAAGGTTTTTAAAATAATGCTCTTTGGCCTACGTAGGTGAACCCTCAATCAATGAAATAACTACTGCCTATGTCATGCTGACCATTTCGACGAGGTCCTTCTTCTCAGATTGAGCAAAACTGCTCTTTGCTCTAGTCTATTGTGAAACCAGACCAACTTTACAAAAGCCAATTGTGAAGTAGGACCAAACAAAGGGTATCATACTTACAAGCAGGACCAAAATACAGGGTTTCCATAGTAAAGAGCAGTACACCGAGATTAGCACGGGACCTGCAGGACCTTTGACTTCGCTATTGATCATACAATATAAAGTTTTGAGTACTTCCTTTTCAGATTTCTGCTTAATTCAAAATGCTACGTCTTGCAATACTGGTAGTCTGTCTCGGTTTCCTGGCGGAATCTCAAGGTATCTATTTAATTAGTTTTCAATCAGAAATACAATTTGTCTAGATCGTTAAAGCCAAAATTCTCAACAGTTTAAAATTTCCAGAGTTCATCTTATTTTTCATTTTACAAGATATCCTATGTGAATTGTACTGTCATCACCAATGCACTTCATAAAAAAGTATATGCAACTGAACCAAACGTGAGCCAAAATAATCCAATAATAATAAAATAATCCGAAATTTGGCGGCAAGACAGTTTCGAAAAAACTTTGTAATAACAAACAGAAGAAATAGAACGTCATTACAATTGGTGTGACGAAATTTCTCGGCAACTAATTGTTTTTATAAATTGAAAAAAAGATATCATAAACTGTTACCCTTCTTCAGGGGCGAAACTTCACTATTTTCATTAGGGGGGTTTGAAGCTTAGTTGCCCGACGAAAGGGCGTGGCATGCTTGATGAAAGGGCGTGTCCTACATGAACTTCATTTTTAGAGCACATCGCCTCAAGGGCTGAAATCATCGGGAAGCCCGAGAGAGGGTCTTTAGACTCAGGCTGTTTGTTTTAAGTCAAAAAATATGCCTCTAGTTTTTCTGGTGTTGGCTATAAACATTTGTTTCCGAAAAGCAAGCATTTGTAAGGCCTGTCTTTTCTATAAAAAAAGTCTTCACTTTCTAAATCACCTAGCTATTAAGAGAGCAATTCAAAAAAGAGATTTAAGTAGGGTCTCAATTTTATCAAAGTGGAACACCAAAACACAGCTTGGAAATTTCGGAATTTAGAAACAGCTACGCAGATTACAATGTTCCAACAAAAAAGAGCTTCAGTTGCATTCTCTGAGTTTCATTTTCAATTTTTGGTTGCTCCGGAAGCAATTTCAATATTTTTAGACACCCAAGCACAAAGTACGTATATCTAAATTCACCATAACAAAATCCCTCAAGCAAAGAAAAGTTTTTTATTGGAGGTATTTTACAGGTGTACCTATCATCAAAGCTCAATTTTCATGTTTTCGTAATCATGGATATTGTTCAGAAATAGAATAAACTCGAAAGATTTTTTGCAATTCATATCTTAACTACAATTTCTTGATAAATTTTATATTACTTCCCGCTTGAACTGATTAAAACTTTCTGTTACTTGTTATGGTTATTCAAATTTTTTTAGTTAAAAAACTTTGGCGTCTGTATGACCATTTTCTAGCGAAGGGTGCAATACTTTCGAACCGTAAGTGTAAAACCTTAAGAGAATTTTGGGGCATAACTCCTTATGGATGTATTGTTGTGAAGGAGCAGCACGCGGTTAATCCTTCACTCGTTCCTAGACCTCTAAGTTGCATTAGTCAGTTGTTCACGCCACGTTGTAATGAAAAGGTGTTCACGTTTGATCATGTTTATTGTAAATAGTTTTATTATGTTCCTGTTGATGTTATGAAATGTTTAAAAACCCAAATGATGTCTTCTTCAAATGTCCTGACCTAAATTTTTAAAACATGTTTGATTTCATGAATGAAAGTTTCATACATTTGGAAAAGAAAATATTGATTGATTTTCTCAACAACGTATTCCGAGATGGTATATCCTTCATGCTTTGATTCATAATGCTTCTAAAACTGTCAGTGTTCTATGGGCTCCGAGGCAGGATGGAACGTTGAGGGGGGGGGAGGCTTTTCAAGAGAAAATTTAGAAATCACAACAAAAGATTTTGAAAAAAGCTCACTTGTTTTGCAAAAAGTAGGGGGGAGGGGTATACACAGTGTTCATTTCCTTCTCGCATCAAACACACTTTACTTTCTGTCTATACTTTTGCTGTCGATCAATACTTCAGACTTCATCTCGAGGCGAAGATAAACATGTGCGCGTTGAGCTCTAAACGAAAGCGCTGATCAGTGGACGGACGAAAGACAGAAATGTATATATGTTGCTGTTCCCTGCCTCGTTTCTGTTTTGTTTTCCCAACTGGGAGGAGATTGGAAAAAAGATGGGGGAAAAGACCATGAATTAAAAAACCAACCTAGGGCAAAAAGTAGCAATAAAAGTGCGTCCTAAAGAAAATTTTCAGATTTGCCCCACAGATACACTAGCAGCCATAAATTTGCCCGACAAAATCTGCTTTTCTGAAGATTGGGGGGTGCAGCACCCCCCATACCCCCCCAGTAGTTTCGCCCCTGCCCTTCTTTTTAGATAACTAAATAACTAAATATACTTACCGAATTTGATTTTTGAAATACTTCGGTGATAATGAAAAGATTTTGGTTTTAGGAAGGACGTTTATCAAAAACAATGTTTTTACACACGAAGATCGGTTATTTCAAACAATATGCGCCAAGCCTGCCAACAGAAAATTCTAATCAGTTGTTAGAAGTCATTATCCGTTTGTCTTAAAAAAATTTCAATTGATGTGTCTTCAAGTCGGGATCATCCATTTTAACTGGATCCTGACGGTTTAAAACAACCTCAGGATAAGACGTTTTAAACGAAAATTAGTTTCCTTTCACTGCATTTTGTTTCATTTCGTTTCATTTCTTCTCGTGTCTTGTCGTATCGTGTCGTGACGTGTCGTTTCGTTTCGTTTCGTTTCGTGTCTTGTCTTGTCGTGTCCTGTTGTGTCATTTTTTTCGTTTCGTTTCGATTCGTTTCGTTTTACTTCGTTGCGTTCCTTTCGACGAATGTAGCAAGCGCTTCTTTATCGTTTTCACCATTCAATTGCAAGAAAAGCAATGCACAACATTGAAAAGATATTCGGATAAAAATCTGATGAAAATTGATTTTCTAAAATTTTTCTTATAACTCTCCTAGGCCTCATTTAAAGTGTAGGCAAGTATTTAACAAACTCTGTTTATCTGAATATTTATTAAAGAGAGGGGCGTTAAATAGGTAAAAAGTGGTGGATATTTTCTAAAAATAGAATTATGCTGCTTTCAAAGGATATCGAGCCGTCAACATTTGCGAAAGCAGAAGTCAATCTATTGGTTGCAGACATGGAATGGTTCTCTCAATAATCGGCGCAAACTATGGAAGAACCGACCGAAGAACTTGTCCACATCGTGCTATCAGAACCACGAGCTGCCGCTCATCAAGGTAATCTTCTTTGGTTGCAACAGAATCATGATATTCGCTTGCAATTCACATTTCATTCTTAGAATTACCAAATTATAAATGAAGTTGTAGATTAATGAAAATTTTCATATATATTATTTCCTTCAAAATAAGCTTTTTCATTTCAATCTTTTACTATATGTACATGTCATTCTTTGCCATTTTTCTCTGTGGTACTACAGATCACTGCTCAAAGTTCGTCAGCTATGCAATGGAAGACGCTCTTGCCATCTTTGGTCCAGTAACAGAGTTTATGGCGATCCTTGCTGGGGAACATACAAATATCTGAGAGTTATTTATCGATGTTATAGGCCAAGACCAAGTGAGTATAAAATAAAATCGAAAAAAACTGACAACATAATTACTTTGTTTGAATCTTGTTGAGAAATATGTTGCTGTTCATATTATTCAATTCTAAATGAACAAAGTCTTGAATTTGCTACAAATCATTGTTGTTTGTTGCTTTTATTTTTGCTGTAAATTTTCTCAGCCAAGAAAACTCGTATTGCTGCCCAAACCGAAATAATGAGTAGAGCTGTGAACAACAATGTAATTGTTTTTTACATTGAAACAAAAAACCTTTTAAATACCGTATTTCGTGACCTTCTTCTGGTAATGTAGATGTATGCTGATGTTGAAAATTTTCGGCAAAGCATCCTTTTTGGAATAGTTGTTCCATGTTATTTCATATTGCTCATGGAATCAAAATACAACACACCCAAGCTTTTTAATGCGAAATTTATAATTATTTAAATCGTTGGTTAGTTAATTGTATCTACCTACTTTGATTTTCGTAAGAAAATTGTTTATTAAAATGACGTGGTTAAGTAGCTAAAAGAGAATAGAGTGAATACGTTATTGTCTCTATGTACCAACAAAAAACTTTAAATTTTGTTTATTTATGCCTTTGAGACATCTTAATATTCATAGGTTTTTTTATTCTAAACAGAATACCTTGTTTCTTTCAAAGGATTTCCAACTGTTAACATCTGCGAACACAGAAGACAATCTATTGGTTGCAGACATGGAATGGTTCTCTCAATAATCGGCGCAAACTATGGAAGAACCGACCGAAGAACTTGTCCACATCGTGCTATCAGAACCACAAATTGCCGCTCATCAAGGTAACCTTTGGTTGCAACAGAATCATGATATTCGTTTACAAGTCACATTTCTTTCTTAGAATTACCAAATTTTAAATGAAGTTGCAGATTAATGAAAATTTTCATTGCTAGGGGAGACGCATAGCATTGATACCTTTATATTTTAGTTCCTACAAAATAAGATTTTTCATTTCTATCTTTTATTATATGTACATTTCATTCTTTGCCAATTTTCTCTGTGGTACTACAGATCACTGCTCAAAGTTCGTCAGCTATGCAATGGAAGACGCTCTTGCCATCTTTGGTCCAGTAACAGGGTGTATGGCGATCCTTGCTGGGGAACATACAAATATCTGAGAGTTGTTTATCGATGTTATAGGCGTCCAAGACCAAGTGAGTATAAAACAAAATCGAAAAAATTGACAACATAATTACTTTGTTTGAATCTTGTTTAGAAATATGTTGCTGTTCATTTTATTCAATTCTAAGACCCCGTTTACACTGTGCCGGATAAATTTTATCCGCATCAAAATTAGTTCAGATAGGCGTCGCGTTTACACTAGACCCACGCTATCCGCACGAGTTTGAGGGCGGCTCTCCGAACAAAATTAGTTCACCTAGGAAAGTGGATTAAATCAGTTCGGATAGTTATGTGGTACAGTGTAAACCCTTTCATCCGGATAAATTTTATCCAAATCGTATCTTGTTCGAAAGCGATTGGCTATTTCATCCAATTTAGTTTTCACTGTCTCACTGTCACTGACCTTTCGCCATTTGGTTGCCTTGTTGTCGATAAATACTCGTGTCAGTGCAGTATCTTGACAGTCCACGTAAAATTGGCATCCTTGTCAGCTTTCCCTACTTTCGTTGCTAGTTCAGTGTCATTTTGTTTCAAGAACAAACTATTGAAACAAACTAGGCCTAATTTGTATTCACAATATCTTTGGATTTGGTCTAAAAGAGAAGCAGATGATTCTTAAGAGAGAATGAAGTCTTTTACGTTGGCGTGAATTTTGTTATTATTCTTTTGCCCAGAAACTTCATTTTGGGCGTTCTGTGCATGAGTTAGGTCATGTGGCTGCAGTTATCCGGCACAGTGTAAACGGTAGGGCAAAGTGGACAAAATGTTTGCGGCACAGTGTAAACGCAAATCAATCCGAGCAACTTTTATGTGGATAAATTCTATCCGGCACAGTGTAAACGGGGTCTAAATGAACAAAGTCTTGAATTTGCTACAAATCATTGTTGTTTGTTGCTTTTATTTTTGCTGTACATTCTCTCAGCCAAGAAAACTCGTCTTGCTGTCAAAACCGAAATAATGAGTAGAGCTGTGAACAACATTATAATTGTTTTTTGCATTGAAACAAAAAACCTATTAAATAACATTCTTCGTATCCTCCTTGTTGTAATGTAGATGTACGCTGATGACATTGCTTAGGGGAATATAAATTAAAAGGATTTATAGAACGTTTTATGCATTTTAAATTCATACTAAACGAATTTAAGGTTCATTTCTTTGGGTAGGAGGTGGCCCAAGTATTCTGCCTGTCCATTGGCTCTTAGCCCGGCGTTGCTCTTGGCGACCCGGACTACGTGAATAGCTGAAGTTAACAGATTGAAAAAAATTATATTCTAGAATTGATAAAGAGCTATAAGCACAGCAGATATTTAATTATAAGCGCAATAATTCTATGTTGCTCGTTGATAAAAAATGCATCACATCCAAAATTTTCAGTACAACATGCATATTTGTTTGCTTTTAAGGTCAATGAACTTTATGTTAACAATTTTTTGTAGTACAAACTTAAAAAATGGCTTTGAAAAAAGCAAACATTTTGAGACATACTAAAAATTTTCGTCTGATACATTTCAGGGTAAAAAACTGGTTATTATCAGGTTAATAATGATAATAATAATAATAATATCAAATGTATTTACAACAGTTTTATAACAGTTTCTATTGTAACCTAGACCCTAGGTAGCATAACAAAGAAAAAGTTTATTTCAGCTCCTGTGCATATCCGAAGATTAAAATCATTTATCCATTCTCCATTTTGTTTATTATGTCTAATCTTTGCTCCAAAAGTATGTTCGATGTTTTAATCATTTTCTTTTAATCGTCAAGCTAGAAGACGGTCTGTCACCTGTGAAGGAAGAGTTGCAAGGCTTGTTTGTCCCTTCCGACAAAAATTGAAGATTCTTCATGCTAATTATGGAAGATCAAACCGCAGTTATTGTCGACGTCACAACTTCTTGAATACTAAATGCAGAGCTTGCAGGTAAGATTCGAGTCTGTTAACTGCGCTTTTATGCCTCATTTGCCCATTTTTGACGAACTATTTTCATGCTTTAAATATGGGTTTTTAAAACAAAATTTTCTTAATTATATCTAAAATTGATGAAAAATTTAATTCTTTCGGAGCTTGCTTTAATATAGGAATAAAAAAGCAGTATTTTGTGTAACGCAGCCTTTGGGAGTTTGAAACTTTGCTTCTATAAGCCATTTGCAGAAATTGTGGGTGACAATATTGGGATCAAGGATTTTGGGTGACAACGCTAAAAATTTTAGAGGTTTATGGCTCGCCCCTTTTATATTTGGCACACAATCGCTATCGAGTCTGATATCCTGTCCACGTGATTATTGTTTTCCAAATTCCAATATATGATTAGTATTCATTATTTTTTATTGAAAATGATAAAAGCTAAAATGCACAATCATCACAGGAGGGATGAAGGGGAGGCATTTAAACCCACAAAAAATGTCTGGATTTGGACTTTTCGTGGATTTGTGCTGCAAGGAAATTTGTGCTCCATGCTGTTCATAGTAAAGCGACAAAACTAAGTCAAGTCTGCTTAAACGTGGACAATTTAAATCATCTTATTTTATAGGTGAAACCATTAACAAGAATTCGAGCCCTAATATGGCTGGAAATTAAGAAACCATAATGCTGATCACAATCAACGCTATGAAACTGCTCGAAAATCTTTCTGTGGTGGAAATAATACGTTTTGATGATAAGGCAGCCATTTTCTGCTTACTGGCACTGATAAATAGAAAGAAGAGCTTCTTTTGACTCGGTTTTCTGCTTCATATTATTTTATGTTATGTTTTGAGGCATCGAAGAATTGAATATAGGCGGGTAATGTAATGCTTTAATGTAAGCTGAAGCCAGTCAATATTGGAAGTGGACACGTGACAGTATGCAGATCATTGCTAATTGATCAAGGTGCGATCATCTGTCGATTCATGAGGAAATTATCTTCCACAGGTCACTCTCAACTGTTAGAAGAAGATGTGACAGAAGACGCTCCTGTGCAGTTCCAGCAACAAACAGAGTATTTGGTGACCCATGCCGTGGGACATACAAGTACCTTGACATAACATACCAATGCGCATAATAACCATAAAGGTAAGAAAAAGAAAATTTATTGCTTGTAATCTTAAAGTGGATTCACTTAAAAATGGAAAATTTAATTGTTATTCTATTTGTTTTAAGCTAGGTAACGTGTTAGGATACCACTTTCAATAGGCTTCAAATAACTTTAAGCGTCATTAAACTACTGAAACTATAATCACCATTGTTAATGTATGAAAGCAAAAATGTTGAGAAAAGAAAATAAAAGCAGCAAGAAAAAAAACAAAATAGTTTTATAATTTTCTGCCACAAGGGATATTCAAAAGAGCAACTGCAAAATCCGCATTCAAATTTCGTAGAGCTCAGTTTTTACTTCAAAGTGAAGTGAGTGCATTGAATTTAACGTTGTTTATACTGTTCATCTTTTAGGTTATGATCACCACAAGAAAGCACTTCGTAGTTTTTGCATCCTGGACGCTAGTCTCTTCACGTATCATATATTTGGACTTTTTTATTGCACTATGGCTACACTGTGCCTTACTTTTACATTAAGTTAGTGAAGAAGAGTGAAAATTGTCTCCCTCTCTGTGTAAATTCCTCACTAAAATATCATATTTCTACTTTTAACGTTTGTGTTAGGACACCGGGCATTTTAAACAATATTAACACATAAATGTGGGCCCGGATCTTTGTTTAGGATTGTTCACATGGAAAATATTCGCTATCCACACTCAATCTCGGGGAAATTCAAGAAACCACAGAAGGCTCACATTAAGGAGACATATCATCTGGAAGAAACTACAATACCTGCAAGCAGCGGATATAGGGACTGCGGAGCCCGGGGCCAAAAACATCGGCAGGGCCCTCGTTATTTACAATTTCTAGCTTTTCTCTTACGTGCAGGCCCCTTTTTGGCTGCCATAAGCGCAGGGCCTAGGGCCATGGCCCCAATGAACTCCCTAAATTTGTCACTGAATACCTGCAAAAAATCTTGGTGAAATACACCAAATTTTCTGTTATTCTAATTCTGCATCCCCTTCCCCTCCCTTTCCAAAAAACTTTCAATTTTATGCAAAGCTACGTGTGGATCAATGGATGAATTTTAGATAGAAATAGAGTTGAACTCTATAACCAACATTGTTTTAGGGGAGAGAAGGCGGGGTCATTTTTACCGAAAGCCATTTTTTTTCAGAACAGCACTTTATCAACTCGTATTCCAGATTATTTTGGCAGAGACTGAACATTAGTCTTCATCATCTGACAAGAATGCAACACATCACTTTGTCGTTTTTGAATTGGGGCCACAAAAAAGGCTTTTTGCAACTTGATAACATTATATTTAAGTTAATCAACATTGTGTATTAGAAAGTTCTGTTATCATATCATATCAGGATATTTCGACAACAATCTTCCGTACCATACTTTGCACAACAAATAATCTTCTGTACTCAAATCAAGGTAGCTAATTCTCATCCTTTCTAGGGTAAATAAAACAGATTCCTTGCAGAAAGAACCTCGCAGTAATGTTTCAGGAAGCGTGAAAAATGCACCTTAGAAGTTTTAATGATTTATTGATTTCTAATCTAATGATTTTATCAGAAGAGCTTGCAAAACTGAGTAAAAAGTACCCAATCATCAATGTGATCTAATATATCAACAATAAGTTATGGCCGTTGAAATGTTTTGTTTTATTAAAAAACTTACTTCTTTGAAGCTTAATGATAGTACAGTCGCATACCTCTGGAATTGTGCATTTTATGGTAAAAGCATAAAGTTTGGAACAAGTACACTATTTGATATACTGAATAAGGAGACATGTATATCAAGCTTTGAATGCTTTTTGAACTGGGGTACTTGTCCTTTATTACGTGTCACACTATAACGTTTTTACTTTGAAAGTTATACGACTGAAACTTTGATTCCTGGCTTGATTAGACGCGCTGAATAGAATAAGATGCAGCTCCAACTTCAAACACCACAAAAATCTATTTTTAGACTTTTGTACTTGCACTCAGGCAGGCTACTATTGGGTATCGCAGTATAACCTCAAAACTATGCAAGTTGTAGAACTGAAACTTTGTTTTCTGGCGTAATCTGACGTGATTAGTTAGATAAAGTATAAAGAAACAAAAAAAACCCAAACAAAAAAATATATATTTTTTAGTAGAACTTGAAGGACATAAATGCATTTTATGACCTTCTTGATTGTTCTTGGCAGTTGAGCAGTGAATCGCTTGCCATGTCATTTTAGGCGAGCTAGGCTGCCTTATCTTCTTATGTTTTTCCATTGTTTTTTGACCGTTTCTGCAACAGGATGGAGTAAACAAGCAATCATAACCACAAAAAATTTAGTGTTCGAGCTGAATGAAAATTCGAGGCTGAAATCAGGCATGGCACGCCATTCAAACTAACAAGCACGTACAGGTTTTTTTTATAACCTACCTCAACGCCTAATTATAGGACATACCTCAAGACCTAATTCCAAAAGTTCCTTATTCGTAGACCTCAAATCAACAAATTTTAGTACCAAAAGTTCCTTAATAGCAATGTTGCCACCCTCGAAATATCGTTTCTACCTACTGCGCAGGTGATTTCTACCTACTTCCACCTACGCATGTCAGCGTGAATTCTCTCCACAAATCCCTACATTTTTCAAAATATCCCTACGTTTTTACCCACGTCCACTCATGCTTCTAAGAACAACTTTCAGCGAAAGTCTATTTTAAAAAGTCATAAAGATCGAGGACCAAAAAAATTATATGAAAAGTAATGCTTTTGTAAGATATTACTATGACGTAAGATATGGTTCGCCTTTTTTGCAAAATGTCTTTTCATAAATATTTCTTGATTTGCATGAAAAGTCAGTGGAAATTGATGTTCAAAGCTCTGAAAAACAAGCAATTTAATTGTTTGGCCGCAAACAAATATAAATCTCTACAATTTCCAGAAAACTACCTACTTTTTTTATTTATCCCGTAGGTTTTTCCTACAACCTATAACCTTCTGAAAATCCCCAAAGTAGGTAGAAATCCCTGCGTTTGGCAACACTGCTTAATAGTTCCTTAATTTGTTTGACTACAATAAGCCTCAACACTTAATAGAGAGAGGGGCGAGACAGCACATGCGGAAAACATATGCGAGACAGCATATGTGAACTACTCAATGAGGCACTTGACACACGAAAGTTATTATTATTATTATTATAACATTATTTACAGTTGGTTAAAATACTGTTAGTTCTAACTTGAACTAATTAAGACCAACTGTTTACAGAAAAATGAATTCTAATTTCAATAAATACAATAAATATATGCTACTGGTGAGATTCCCACTGACCTTTTCATCTACATATTTTACATAAGCAACTATCACCTTTCCACTCTTTAATTGATCTCTGAAAGCTAAATAATAGCAAAAAATCTATGCGAGTTTTGGCTGCAAAAGAATGGAACAGACTTTTTAGTTTTCGGCCTTCTACATGTAGGTTCCTTAGAAAGTTTTTCCTCATAAAAAAGCGTGTATTTTAGTCGGTGAGGCACGTTAAATTAATTCCTGCCAGCAATGGCGGCGCCAGCCACTAAGCTCTGGGGGGGGGGGGACAAACCAAAAAAAATTAAGCCACGCCCTTTTAACCACCAGAAAACGCCCTTTTACCAACAGGGAACGCCAATTTTATCCGAAGGGAACGCCTATGACAAAGTTTTGTTGACTCAAATCATATGATTACACCACTAAAAGTACGGTGTCAAAATATTACCCCTCCCCCAACATTTTCTCATCGAATTTAGACAAAATACAAAATCAATTCTGCTGAGAACTGGGGAGACGTGTCCCCCCAGTCCCCCTCCCTCCGTGGCGCCGCTACTGCCTGCCAGTGGCTGTACTCTAGAAGATAAAAGGAACTGAAACAGGCGGAAGAAAATAATTGGGAGTACTAGAGGTGGCCGAGCTGCCAGGGTGGCTTTATGGAAAATTTTAAGCAATGATATAGAGGCCCCGAAGGCGCTGGATGTCTAACCGGTCATAATTGCCCTTTGAGCTGGTGAGGCAAAATCATTCAAGCGGAAATACTGGCAAAAAGACGATCACGCATAAGGGCTCAGTACGGGAAATTGCAAGGCGGACGAAGGAAAACCAATATTTTCGAAAATCGGCATTAATTTGAAAGTTCAGATATACTGTTTCAGCTTGCCATTTTTAATTCGAAGATTTTAAGCTTTAAATTGTTTTGGTAAATGGGGTTTTGATATTTTTAAAAGAATTTTTCTTGCTGCGGCGTTACATCATTGGTTTTAAGATCTCAAGTTCAGTATGAGGCTGGCCAGATGAACCTAAAATGTCGGCAAAATTGTTTGTATTCGCAACATTGGCCTAGTAACGCTAAAGGAAATTTACAAATGGATCATTGACAAATTGGGTAGCTTTTGCTGTGGCTTGTTTATGGAAAGAATAAATAAATAACGCCCATACATCATGCCTTCACGAGTATGAAGTTTATTTCAATTTAAATTATGCGGTGTTTTACAACTAACTATAGACTTGCTTAGCAAGCATTTGAAGTTCAAATTTAAAATGCTATATCACCTTATTCATTTATGTATATGAAGACTATCTCTACGTACATTTTATTTTTGATAAGTTTGCAAACCATTGAATCATTGTCTTCATAATTAGGTGTTTTAACTTTAATTGGAATGGGATTTCTTATAATGACTAAAATTTCAAGCTTAATATCATTCAACATTTGTCAAGCAATATTTTCAAGTTTCTTACTCATAGTCATAGAAGAAAAGAAGAACTCAACAAACAGTTATTAATGCCAAATTTTAGGACTGTTTCTTCTACATCACATGCCTTGGAGCTATCTTTATCTTCCCAACAATGCTCTTCATACAAATTTCTTTATGGTTTTAATCAGTTAAGGATTATATATGCATTTTACTCCTTGAAAATCTTTGCTGCATGATTTAGGCCTTATTGTCATGTTATCAATTTTCCTAGGACACAAAATTTTTCTACATTTTGAGGTTGAGAGAATGCATTAGATTCCTTTTTCATATATTGCTGTCATTTTTGACCATTTTGTATGCAGTATTCTCTAGTCCAGGCCACAATCTTTGATGACCCTTCCTTTCTACTTCTGAATTGCTTGGCAAGGGAACGCATAAAAAATAGTCCTCAAACTTTTGCGATCCCCCTTAAATCTTATCATTAGGTGAATAATTGCTGTTTTAATCAAATAATTGTTGTAGTGTTTTATACTTTAGAGTTGTGAGATGTTTTGTGTTCATCTTTTAATGTTAAATGGAGGCCTCGTTTGGTCTTTAAACAATTTATAGAAATATGCTGTTAGGATTAGAAATGTGCTCTCAGAATTAGAAAAAGTGTCAGGTAAAGATATGGCTGCTGCTTTCCATACCACAGTTAGGATATCATCTTAATTCTTAGATTTTCTGAAAAATAGATTTTGTCATGTCCTAATTGCTTGTTAGCCTGTAATCCCAATTTAGCCTAGTACCAAAATTCAAGACCAGAAAGGCACTGTGCCATGATAAAAAGAGAGGTTATACCATATGAATTCATCTTGTATTTATTTACAAAACCTCTTCGTCAAAAGCAAGTTTTCAACAACAGATGCCAATATGGGATGAAACTACAGCTGTTATGCCAAAAGCAAAAGACTTCCTGTAGAGTAGGCCTATTTACCATGACTCAATGCATTTAAGTAGAGTTGCTTAACTTCTGATTGAGTTTATGTTTGTTGATACAGTGTAATTCAAATTTGCAGAAATCAAAAGAGGACACTTGGAAGGAAAGTGAACTTTTAGATGCAATTCAGGTATGTTCCATTCAGTTTTCAACACTAACAAGCCTGATAAATAGTTTCCTAAATTACTTATTTTGTGACATAAGACAAGTTTTTCTTCACACCTTTTTTCTTTTAAGGGACAAGAAAAGAAGAAAAAGTCATCTTCAAAAAGTAGCAAAAGGTAAGATTAATCAAAGCTCAGACTTTTAACATGTAATTTTTTGGCCCAAAACCGTATGTTAAATATGATGGTCCCTGAAGATGCATTATGTATGAAATTACAAGGCCAATGTATTTATGTGACACTTAGCAATAAATATGACAAGTTTGAAGTGGTTCAGCTATAACATAAACAGAAAGCAAAGCACAACTAAACATATGGTGTTTTTGAGTATAAGAGCTATATTTTAATGAAGCAACAAAGCTTCATTAAGGAACTGTAAAGGTTGATATCTCATGCTTTTCAAACATGGTTTTCACCTTATATTTGAGTTGGTTATTTGGCTAAGCAAGTTGTGTTTTAAGATACTTTTGAGCAATTGATCACCCACCAAAAGGTGCTTGATTTTCTGATATTCTAGTCATATCTATGTCTTTTCAGTGGGTCAATTAAGTCTTTGCTCTTTTAATGTGTTCTAAAGTACTATCTTGGTATCTTTTCATTAAAATTTTTGCTTATTTATAGTGGGCATTTTTCAAGAATCTATTATTCTGAAATCTGATAATTATTGTTTAGTTTTCAAGGTTATTATTTTCAAAGCATCCTTTTCTAAATTAATTGCAGCTCTTTAAATCTTGCAGGTTAATTTTGAAGGATTGAATCTTCTATTTTTGAACCTTCCCTTGCTTTGTCCAGTTTCTCTATGTCACCTAAATTCACAAATTTTTTCTTGAAGTATTTTGGATCACAGACATCTAAAGTTTCTTTTATCAAATTTTTGGAGGTGCCATGAGAATATCGTATATAAAATTTCAATGCAAGTCTGTTTATAGCGTGCTGCCACGTTTGTCGAGGTAGAAAATTGATTCATACTGTTCAATGCCATATAGGCAGAGCTATACACGATTGGTTTTATCGAGCATGCTCTAAGTTGCAACACTGAATTTCAAACTTAATGGGTTTATCAAACAACTGTTTAATTTTAATGCGTTCAAAATTTGACAGTTGGCCAACGATTGCCTTAAGCATGAAACTTGGTGTTGCAACTTAGAACTGTAAATTTAAGGTAAATATAATTGTATTTTTTATGTTTTTGCCACGTTTTGGCATATCCCATGCTTACGGTTTGCTTGAGCATGGCAAGTGATAGGATCTGGTAGCATTTTTGTCCTTCCACCGTATACTCATACCAAATTTACTTCCATTTTAGTGGTGAATCATCGAGGCATGGTACGAGGGATGATAAAGAAAAACATGTAAGATTATGTCACAATGAATTTTCACAATAAATTGTCACAATAAAAGGCTTATGCCATGAAAAATATCTGCTTTTGTGGTAATCTTTATTGTTTGCTCATTGTCATTCATTGATTCCATTTTTTATTGCATGCTAATTTTCGGCTAATTAGATATGCTTTGCTTTCAAATTTTGCACTGAGAGGCCCTGTGTATCATCACCAACTTATATCAAGGGCAATGCTATATTCATCAAAACATGTCCTTCGAATTTGTAAGGCTCCTTTTTAGGGTTATTGATCCTTATTTGGTGTCGTCCATTGTTTGGCTGAAAGACAATGGTAACACATGCTTTTGCTGGCACACATGCTTTTTTTAGTCTAGATCTGCTGAATGTTTTGGTTAACGTAATCTGTTTGCATAAGTTTTTTTTATCGTTTGGTGATAAGACTTAAATTTTAGTTGGGTTTAATCTAAAATTTCTTTCAGTGTTTCAATAGATTTAAAAATATATTTTTTTTAGAGACGAAGTGAAGCTAGTGGAAGTCATCGAAAGGATTCTGATCGCAAAGAAAAAGACAGGGATAGAGAAAGGGAGAAGGAAAGGGTGAGAGAAAGGGAACCAGTTGATGGTCATGAAGGAAGTAGACAGAAACCCAAAGAAGATGGAAAAAGGAGCCATAAGGAAGAGAAAGAGAAGTCAAGTAGAAGAAAGGACGAAAAATTGCGAACCGAGAGTGAAGATGGCAGATCCAGAACAAAAGAAAGAGAGAGAAGTGATGGCAAGGACAAGGAACGTAGAAGAGACAAGGAGGATGCAAGAGAGAAGGAGAAACGAGATGCCGATAAGAAGGGTAGGAGAGAGAAAGACAGGGATGGAAGCGAGAGGAAGGAAAGAAAGGACCGTGAAAAGGATGGGGACGATGGCAAGGAAAGGAGAAGGGAGAAAGACGGTGAAGGCAGTAGGAGTCGACATAAAGAAGATGGGGAATCTAAAAGAAAGCACCATAAGTCGAAAAGGGAAGATAAGGAACGCGAAGATTCAAGAGAAAGCAGCAAGCATAGGAGCAGCAGTTCTTCTAAGGATGGGAAATCTTCTAAAGACAGAAAAGACAGGCATAAAGAGAAAAAGGAAAAGCGAAAGGATGAAAGTGAAGTGAGGTATCATGAAAATGAACCCAGAGAAGACATGGGTAGGACTGAAAGATCAAAAGAAAGGAAGAGCCGGGATTTGCCTAGTGTTGATGAAAACGAGCCACAGGAAAGTCGTCAGAATGATCGAAAGACTGAAAAGGTGATCTCAATTTTGATGTTTATTGAAAAGGTTTTTTGGGGGAGTTGGTTAAGTAGATTTGCAGGATCTGTTTACAAGGGAGCTGGATGAGCAAGGAATATATAAATGTACATTTCCAAAGGATATGTGTTTCAGATAAAAGATTTTTAGCTCTGATGAAATTTTTTAAAACACTGATGAACCTCAAACAGTAGTTGTTTTAAGAGATGGTCGTACAATTGGTCACATCCCGAGAAAACATTTTTTCAGAAGCAACCTACAGATGCTAAGAGGACTTTAGTAGGCCTTGCCATTTGAGGAGAGCCATATCTCTTGCTCCCCTCCAGGCTCTCATCAAACGCTGGAGGGGAGCTACAAAATGCTCTCTTAAATTGTTCTAAAAAGCAAATGTCTCTCCTTGAAATCAATTTTTCCTTTTTTATATTCTTATGTATCTAGAAATAGCTCCCCTACTTAAAATCTTATGGCCAGGCCTGACTTAAGTCATCTTTCAAATAAAAACTGACCAATCAGTGAGTGTGATTCCACTCATTGATTGGCTTATATTGATTGACAGGTGACAATTTCTGTGCAACAGGGCATTTTTGTTTAACCCCTTGAAATAGAGATATGGAAGAAGTAGAATTCAGGTATTTTATTTAGATTGTTTTTCTATGTTAACTTTCAATACAGATTGTTTTGTTGGACTGCATAGCAATAGACCAATTCGACTTACGGCCTCATTTTGAAAAATTCTTCAAATTATTTTGTACAAAATTTTTGACCTCAGATTCGGATTGCAAGCAATGATTTAAGTATACTTTGAAGTTTTCACTATGGTTTTGCTCACGAAATTGATTTTATGACGACAAAAAGATAAAAATTTTATAAGGGATTTGACCGTGATTTGCGACTAGGGTGGTAAAGTTTCCCCCGAATGACTTTTGCGGTCAAATCCCTTACAAGTTTTCAAACTTCATTTCTCCGTAAAATCTAAAATATAAGCACAAACAATATGAAAAATTGTATCCGGCCTAAATTTATGGTGATAAAACCAAATTTGAGCTTTAAAAAGTCGTATGATTAGGTTAGGAGAAATTTTCAAAACGAGGCCGTAAGTCGAATTGGTGTATATATCTAATGCTTTGACATTCAAGTTGTTTTCTTGTTGTTTTTTTAATTTGAAGCCGAGGAGTAATCTTGTTACACCCACACCACTAGTTATTATTATTGGAGTGAAGGATAGTTGTTTTTACAGGACAACCCTACTGCTGGTCATGGACCGAAATTTCGAAAAGCTTCCATTGATAAACAGAATGTAAGTGCTAATTTCCTACTGTAATTTTCTTTGAACACATTATGAGGGTCAACTCAACCAAATTAACGTTGTGACGATGACCTGAACAAACGATTTACGTCCAACATTTGACCAAATATCCTGTCAGTTATAATGTTTATGCATTTGCATTGCCGTATCCAACAGGAAAATGATTAATTCATCAATGCACGCGATCTAACATTTTGTTTTATATGTAATCAGATATTACATTGCAACATTTAATTGCAATGATATCTGATCAGCGTCTGTGATATACTGTTCGGTTATCCTGTTATAATGTTTTTTAAACATCATTATCCTGTCAGTTAAAATGTTAATCAATTTGCATTCAGTGGCGGACACTTGGGGGGCGAGGGGGGGCGAGGGGGGGGGCGGTCACCCACCAATACTTTAGAGAACAATGGTCTTTTGTTCTAAAGCAATGGGAAATGTGACGTCATCTTATTAAAACAATAGGCTTGCCCCCCCAATATTTGACCAAGTGTCCGCCCCTGTTTGCATTGTTGTATCCAACAGAAAAATGATTAATTCATCAATGCACACGATCTAACAATTCGTTTAATATTTGATCGGATATTAGATTTGATCACTTAGTTGTAATAATGTCTGATGATAGTATGTAATAAGCTGTTTGATTATCATGTTCAAATATTTGATAAATATCATTTTCATGTCGGATAGAATGTTAATCCCTTGCATTACTGTATCCAACAGCAAAATAATTAAATCGTCAATGCACACGATCTAAAACTTCATTTAATATTTAATCCGATGGTACATTTGATCATTTAATTCTGGTAATATTAGATCAGGCTATATATTGTACAGTTTGATTATCCTGTTAACATGATCGATTTTTTTACTATCATGTCAGGTAGAATTTTAAGCCATTTGTAATACTGTGTCTAAAGACAATAATAAAAATAACAATATGATTATTTCAATTTATGATCTTCAGAGCTACGAAGAAGAAATCGAGGACCAAAGCCGAAGAAAAGCGAGCATCGCAAGACGGAAATCTTCGATTCTTAATTCCGATGAAGTGAATGAAGAAGTCATTGATGACAATGCTTACGACTATGGTGATGACGATTTTGAAGATTATGATGATGATGACTTTGAAGAAGATGATGGCGATGAAGATGAAGGAGGCGACGAACTCAATTTCACCAACGAAGAACTTGAGGGTGTTGACGAAATACGCAAGGCGATGAGGGAAGAGAACCAGTTGGCGGAATCACATAACAGTAGCCGCTCTTCAAGTCGCGTATGTTCGATCTGCTTTTCTCTGTTTGATATATATTTTTTATGATTGCTATTTATACTTTTTATCTATTGAATGAAATTGTTGAGAGTTTCCTTTAGAAAGTTTCTAGCTGATATTTTGAAATTATTGTTGTTGCAATCCTAGAAAGATGGCTTGGAAATCCCTTGTTTTAAATTTTGGCACCAAGGTCTTGGTTGATACCTCCTTTATAAGACTCTTGTGCCAAATTACATTAGGATCTGTTTCTAGTCGTTTACAGCATATCAAACTGTGTAAAATGTTTCAAGCTGGCATTATAATCTGCCCGATTGCGTTTTGGTTTGAAATCGTATCCTCATCGGCCTATGGCTTCGTCATCACGTTTTTATGTCTTAAATAAAAAACTGCCATCGCTCTAGTGCCAAACTATGCATGCTACCTGGGTAATGATAAAAGGTCTGTTTTGCTAAGGCGGTGACCGATTTCCTCAAAGATCTAGTCTCAGGGACATTGAGAATCACATCAATTGCCAAGCAAGTCTTTCCTCTTAAAAACCCCTCTGCATATAGTGTTTTATGAAATGTTTTTTTTAGAAAATGACACTTGTTATGGCCAAATATCCCCTTTTTGACGCTTTTTTTATTGAAAATTTTTAAAAGTGGCCCCTCTACGGATCCATAAGGCTATGCGATATGCCGGATAAAATATGCCTAGTATTTTCGTCTGAATTTATTCTTAATGAGTAACCCATCGTTATTGATCATGGTCTCGTTTAGATGCTGTTTGCCTCTTTGTGCTCTGTCGAACTGTTTTCGATGTTTAATCTTTTTGAATGATATCACTTAAAAATCCAATTTTTTTTAGCCTTCTACAAGAGATGGCGTTCAAGGTAATCTGTTTTAGTCACATTCAGATGTCTATAATTTCTCCCACAATCACATCTTTTTGTTTCATTGATTTGTTGGTTCTAGTTTGCAAGTCAGAACATTTTCTAAATAACTTTATGTACAGAATCTTTACTGTTAAAGGTATGCGAGAGGCTTAAGTCACCTGTCAATCAATATTATCCAATCAGTGTGCGTGTGGCTGGAATCACACTCACCGATTGGTCCATTTTTTATTGAAAGATCGCTTAAGCCCCTATAGTATCCGTCGATTGTCTTTGATTTTGATAAACATTCATAAATCCTTTGCACCAAAGTTGTCAAAGTGCAGCTTTAAGTTTGTGTTTAGACTTTTCCAAAAGCGAGGTTCCTAATACTGTGGCGATTGCCCTGTGTATCAAGATTTCTGATTGCTATCAGACAGAATCACAAAGATGTTCAGCAGTAGTTGAAATAATTAATTGTCAAATTTGGGTCACTTGACCAGTGTTAAATATTCTCATATGCTTTTTGATATAAATAAATACAAAAAATACAAAAATTGCAATATTATAATATGAGTTCAAAATATGCATTGACAAATAAACCATTTTCATGAAATGGATGAAAAAAGCAAAATTTTCTTGATAAAGATTCTTGGCTTGATTTTACCAATTCAATTATGCTTTAGGCTTTTCTGCTGAATTCGCAGGAGTGTCAAAGACGTACGGAAGTTGAAAATCCTTAAAAAATGAAGTAACAACTCGATTTTTCAATAGGTCGCCTCGGAACATCCAGCTCAACGTCTGTCGCAAAGACACAGCCACGTGGAAAGATAAACTTTATCGCAGCTAAGCAGAAGCAAATCAGTGACAAAGTTGCCAGCAAAACAAGACGAAGAGGAAAGGTTTGCATGGATGTTTTTCATTGTTTCTAGCATAGGGAATGTAAGGATATATACGGAAGCCAGTGGAGAGTATTTTGAGAAACTGTGAAAATTTGAACATGATGCCACTTGCGGTTTTTGAATACCTCAATAATTTTGTAGTGACCCTGGTACTTGATGCTCCAATTTCGGGAGATACCCCGTTAATCGGATTATAATTAAAGGTATTTATGTATCAAGGACTGTCGGTAGCAAATTTCAATTTGATAACCCCAAAGCCCCCTAGTTTAGAGAGAATTGGTCCCTACCCCTCCTATCACTTGGCCCTGGCTAGACGTTCGACCCATGCTAGCCTCTACCCTCCTTTGTCTTGCTACAGAGATCTCATCTGCTGTGACCATAATGGTAGTTTTTACTCAGCTACAGATTTTTTTCTAATTAGGAGCTGAGCAAGCTTATCGAACTTGATGTAGTAGCAATGGATCTGTTTGAGCTGCAGCCACTCAACATATATGAAGTATACATGAAAAGCTTCGGAAGGACCAATACAGAACAGGTTGCTGTGCAGACAAACGAAGACTGCCTCGAACAGGAAACGCAAACTGAGGAGATTGAGGCTGAAGCAAAATGGTGTCAGTTTTCAAACGAAGTCCAGTCTTTCGGAGGTGATAAATTGGTTTCTTTCATTGGTAGTTTGGTTTAGCTTGAGTTTTTATGATGATTTTGATCTTCATTCTTTTATTTTATTGGATCATTGCATCATTATCACTTGGTGATTAAAGAAAAACAACCTTAAAAAAATTTTCTTTAAAATATGGCCGCGTGGTGATCACAATTACTTTTGGAAAATATTTTGTAGTCATTTGATTATTCAACGCTCTTAGACCTCGAAATACCAAACTCAATAAAGCCCTTCCAGTGTTTTGGCTCAAGCCAATCCAATGGTTCGTTCAAAATGACCGTTTCTTTGAGTTCATAAAATGGAGAGACTCGAGAGCTTCAGACATGTTTCAAGACGATAGGATTAATTTTGCTTCGATATGAATTCGCCAACCCTTCTCATGCGAAAGCACAGCTACAGATAGATATCCTCTTTGCCTGATAATGCTATCAACCAAAAACAAAAGTTCCAGTTTTTAACCTAACTTATAACTTATAACCAGGTCCAATAAGCAAGGACCGTGGAGCATGTTACGAATTAAGGGGCGCTAAAAGCCAAGAGCAAGGCAAATTTTTTATAGTTTTCTGTTTCCTATAAGGACATTATTAGAAATTATTTTTGGGCCAAGCCCCTCAGCCCCCTCCCCCTTTCCCAAGGTCCCTGTAAATATGTAAATACTAACTGTTAGTTTCCTCTATTTGTGGTAGCCAAGTAGCAAATTGCCAAATAACCAGTCTCAATTAACACACCAGTGTCAATAAGAACAAGCCAAGGAGGCTATAGGCTATATATCTTACTCTTAATCGCTTCAGTATACATAGAAATGCTTTTTTAATTTGTCCATTTATCTTTTGATTTGTCAAAAGCCAGCAGCAAATGTAGTAAATCCATAGATGATAAACATTATTTTTACTTCAGAACTGAATATTGCTCTCTTCCTTAGAGTGCACATTTTAATCAGATAGTGCGTGTTTAATGTTTCGACCATCAGTTTGTTTTATTGGCAAGTTAGTCCATACAAGCATTGGTTTATATCATTCATTCATTAATGGTTTTCGAAATACCAAACGTTTTTAGACACGTTAACGCTTTTCGTCTGACACTCGTCAAAGTACAGAATGCCAGAATAAGGATCGATTAGGAAATACAGTAGTGTCCTGCATATAAGAAACAACGTTTTCAATCACAGGTGTGACCTGTTTCTTATAAAATGAGATAAGCTTCAAATCAGGGTCTTAAAGTGAGTCGTAGAGTTTAAAGACTAGTATATCTGTTTCAGGTGAAAATGAGAATTCATCAAAGGCAAACACTACTCAGTCTTCAACAATGAGCCATGACACAAAAAGGCTCAACAAATTTTTAAGTAAAGCAACACAGGTATGTTTTCAGATTTTCCCGGTAATAACATCCTCTATTTCTAACTTTAAAGCGTGTTCTTTGCTAGTCCATCGTGATCTTCTTAAGTTGTTACCTAGCAGAAATCGTTTCCTTTCTTTATTGCTTCTACTACTGATGGAGGATGTACAGAACTGGCACAAGAAAGAATATAAGCAAAAATTTCAGGAATCCAGAAGGGGTTTTTGGGATCCAAGTGGGTTATTTTGGACATGTTTTCGATATACTTAAATCTGCGTTACAAGATACCTGTTCTTTAAATGGGTAAACTGGTCTAGTTTCTAAGTAACAAGCTCCCCTTCCCCCTCTGCCACCATTCTTAAGGAATTGCTGGTGTTAATTGTTAAAATGTTTTCCTAACAGCGGGCATTCTCTTTCTTTTTATGATTGGGGTCTTCGAAAGGCATTCGTTTCACAAAAAAGTTACCCATTTCATCCATTTCCTTCCCTCTTGATTTATATAACTTTATTACCAGAAAATATAAGGGAAATGTTAGAACAAGCCCAGCTTTAGGTTAAATTCGAAGAGAAACAATGCGCTTTTTAAAGTTTTTTTCTGGTGTCAACCAAAAATAGCGTTAATCATCAACTAATCAACTGTGCTACGAAAATATCAGGCAAAATTGTTAGCATTGTGAAAATTCGAAGAGAAACAATGCGATTTTTAAAGCTGTCTCTGATGTTAACCAAAAATAGCGTTTTTCATCAACTAATCAATTAAGTGTCGAAGTCATTTTGGCAGCTGAAATTAATTGGCTGACAACGGATATTCTATGGGCACAAGCTCCCCTTCCCCCTCTGCCGCCATTCTTAAGGAATTGCTGGTGTTAATTGTTAAAATGGTTTCCTAACAGCGAGCATTCTCTTTCTTTTTATGATTGGGGTCTTCGAAAGGCATTCGTTTCACAAAAAAGTTACCCATTTCATCCATTTCCTTCCCTCTCGATTTATATAACTTTACTTTGAATTCGCAGGAATTAGCAAAATTTATTTTTAGAGCCTTTTACCTTCGAATAATTTTAGTTACACGTTTTTGTAGCTGCTAAGAAGCTTTGAAAATTACAAGTAAGGAATCAAACTGATGAAAATAGAATAAATGAACCACAGTTTACCAGAGAATATAAGGAAAATGTTAGAACAAGCCCAGCTTTAGGTTAAATTCGAAGAGAAACAATGCGCTTTTTAGAGTTTTCTCTGGTGTCAATCAAAAATAGCGTTATTCATCAACTAATCAACTGTGCTACGAAAATATCAGGCAAAATTGTTAGCATTGTGAAAATTCGAAGAGAAACAATGCGATTTTTAAATCTGTCTCTGGTGTCAATCAAAAATAGCGTTATTCATCAACTAATCAACTGTGCTACGAAAATATCAGGCAAATTGTTAGCATTGTGAAAATTCGAAGAGAAACAATGCGATTTTTAAATCTGTCTCTGGTGTCAATCAAAAATAGCGTTATTCATCAACTAATCAACTGTGCTACGAAAATATCAGGCAAAATTGTTAGCATTGTGAAAATTCGAAGAGAAACAATGCGATTTTAAAATCTGTCTCTGCGTGTCATCAAAAATGCGTTATCATCAACTAAATCTAACTGTGCTATCGAAATATCAGCTGCAAAAATTGTTAGCATGTGTGAAAATTCGAAGCAGAAACATGCGATTTTTAATCTGCTCTGGTGTAAATCAAAATAAGCGTTTATTCATCCAGCTATCAACTGTGCTACGAAAATATCAGGCAAATCATTGTTCGCATTTGTGAAAATTCGACAAGAAACATGCGATTTTTAAATCTGTCTCTGGTGTCAATCAAAAATAGCGTTATTCATCAACTAATCAACTGTGCTACGAAAATATCAGGCAAAATTGTTAGCATTGTGAAAATTCGAAGAGAAACAATGCGATTTTTAAATCTGTCTCTGGTGTCAATCAAAAATAGCGTTATTCATCAACTAATCAACTGTGCTACGAAAATATCAGGCAAAATTGTTAGCATTGTGAAAATTCGAAGAGAAACAATGCGATTTTTAAATCTGTCTCTGGTGTTAACCAAAAATAGCGTTTTTCATCAACTAATCAACCGTGCTAGGGATCAGACAAAATTTTTACAGTCTTTAAAGCAATTTCCAGTATTTAGTTGCATAAAGATCAATGTTTGTAAGAACAACATTCAGAACACTTCAAACCTCAAATTATCAAAATATATTAGACCATCGAGCCTCGACAAAACTGGTTCTTTTTAAAATGTTATGACTCTTCCAAATTTTCTTTTTAATCTTCCTTTGTAGCTTTGCATGACATTGTTAAATGAGATGGCAGACAATGAAGATAAAATCTCCGACAGATACGAGCAATCGGAAATGAAGTTCAGTGAAAGGTTTTTAAAGTTAGATTTGAAAAGTCAACTTACTAACGGTAAGAAGCGTGTATATGTTTTATGGAATTTCTCAAATAGTGTTCGAAAATGATTACGTCATAAAAATATGTTTCCAGTATTTTTGCATTTTGGATCAAATACGCTGAAAAATCATTCTGAAGTACCCCCTGAAAGTGAAAATGGTTTTGCAAAAAGCAAACATTTTACAACATACTAAAATCAATTCGATGTGTTAGAAATTGGCTTAGATGTGAACATGAGCACAAGCTCTTTCTCCTTCAAGTCGTTGTAATTTGGTCTCTTGAGGATATTCGGTAGTAAAATTTTATGAAATTACATTTAGGACTCTATTAGGGAGAGGTTTTTTGAAAATATAATTCAATAAGTTTAAGGATAGAAGTTTATGAAGTAAACCTTAAAAATTGGAAAAGAGATTATATTAAAAACAATCATGTTGCTAAGGTTTGATCGTGTTAAGTTGGCCCTTCAATTTGTTAGGGCCTAGCTAGCCTTTCCATAGCATCATCAACTAAAAAGGAAAAAGGCTTAAATCTTCTGGAAGGGATGCATGAAAACAAAATATTAAGATGTAACAAGAATATTAATGGGTTTGTTCAAGGCCATAATTAGTCAATGTTTGTTTCAAAAATACATTCTGTTTCTAATCAAGATAAGATGCATTTGATTGCACTACCGTAAATCCTCGAATTAGCCCCCTTGGGACTTATTTATTTTTGATATTTTTGGACGGGGCCTTTTAGAGAGGGGGGCTTATAAATTATTGTAGACAATAGGAAGACATTATTAAAAGACCTTGTTATTTTAGTAGGAATTTCTTTATGAGCAGTTAATTAATTACTACCAAAAGTACGAATTTGTCGTGGTAATTCAATAAAACGCCATAGGCAACCTCAGATGACAAAAACCGTCAAGTTGAGGGGTCCAATTCGAGTATATACGGTAGCAGTGGGGTCTTATTCGAGGGGGGGCTTATTCGAGGATTTACGGTATAACCATTTTCGATTCGCACCTGGATTTGCATCTCTGTTTTGTCGTTATTCACTCTTTCATACGCTGCGGAATGTCAGATGATAGAATTTCCTCAATTATGCTGCACAATCAACTTACTTTTTTCTTAGAATTTTGTGTTAGTCGATGAAATCTCTTAATGCAGTGTACCCTTGAAATTTTTCAACTCCATTTAACGTCCACAGTTGTCTGATGATCGCATTCATTGTGAATCTCGGAATTGCTAACCGCTGTTCTTTACGGCATCAAGCGTTGTATGACAAACCGTTCTTTCTCTTCTGCCCTCCTCCACACTCTTCCGCAACGTCCCACTTGACGCTCTGGAACCCAGAGTAGACAAGCCGTTAAAACGGTACTTTTCAACCACTTCGATTCTTATATTTCCCAAAAAACTTAGAGACGTGTTGTTACACTAGACGTTTTATAACCAAATATTGACCCTTCATTCACAGGCAGGCAAATTGTAAATACACACACTTCAAATGCCAATCTTTTTCTCACTGCGCATGGCAAAAGT